AATTTTGCGCGGCGCGATCTACACGAGTATTATGCGACTCGCACGGCGAACGTAACCCCCTCGCATAATTTCGAACACAATGCGGCCCTCCACTCGTGTGTTACCCCCTCATACTTTAGGGGCCTGTCAAGGGGACCCCAAGTTCAAAATCGTATGCTACGTCGAGGTATTCGCGCAACTTCGTGTGTCGCAGCATTTCTCCGCGTTTCTTCCCGCGTCGTCCTAAACCCTCTGCAGGGCCGCGGGATTCACGTTCTTTTCCTGTGAAATCTGATGATACGCGATAACCGTCGCCCGCGATCGCGTTGTTGAATCGAATTATTTGTACAACACCTTCTCTTATACGAGATAAGAATTAGCCGCGTCACAGATTAGATCGTCCGCCGGAGAAACTTCTGCGCGGACGCCCCTCTGCTTTCGAAAGTCTTCGGTTCTTTGTTGTCGATAATACAATCACGACGCACGACCTTGACAAAAAACAAAACACGAGACTCTTTTCTCCTCCGACGTATCGCAAGACGGTCGAATCAATCAGCACCTGCGAATTGAGAGAACCGGGAAATTGAACGCGGCAATGCACGCGTTGTATGTGTTGTGTGTGTCGTGTTACACAATTGCTAGTAAATTAAATTTTAAAGGATTCCTGCCTCTTTTTGAATTCGTGTGAATGATGATTCGTCACAATGTGCGCTATGTTCAATTGCAACATCGGTGATTCCGACGTCGTTCTTCATATTGATAAGATAGACAGTTATCCGATGATATCATACGAACAGAGAAATGTCGATATACGAGTTTCTGAGAGAATTTCACTTTTCCACGTGTCGGATTCCAATTTTATCGCCAGTTACACTCGTTCTTATCGTAATATTAAAAATACCGTTCGATAATATGAAAATAACGTTGTCGGAAATCACCGCGTTAATCGATATTTACTTATCGAAGAAATATTTGAAATTATACACACGCGCGTGCGCGCGCGTCTCGTTTTATTTCTTAAACAATTTTTCTCGTTTGAGACGATTCATTCTGTCATTAATATCGCCCCATGAACAATCCGTGAAACATTCCCGGTTGTGACGGAATATTTTATTGCCAGCTAGATTTAAGGTCGAGCAATCGTCATCGCGAGGAGGGAGGCAAAATTTATATCACGTTATCGCGCGGTGTCGGCTTCGTGTACGAAAAAACGCGCGTTCCAAAGTGTCACGCGCCTTTCGCGCGTACGCGAAAACGCCTCGCCTGTCACTCTTTCCACGTTAATGAAATTATCGTGCGCTTACTTAATGCCTAAATATAGAAGCAATCGCGCGTTCCAGATTGCGACGTTGGCCGCAGGGTGTCGCGCTCGTGTTCTTTAAAAGAAAGCGCCCCGATATCGTCGTGGAATGCGCAGCTATGCGAAAAATGAACGACCGTATAGACAGTTACCGACTCGCGTATGTTCTGTGTTCTGTGTGAAATTTCCGAGCGAAATTTTTCCGTTTTCCAATAGTTTTCACAATCAATACGCGACTCGCAAAAATACTCAGCTTTTTGCTGCGAGATATTTACATTTCTTGTAGAGATGTGCGAACTATTCGAATTCGAATCCGAATCCCTATGATTCGAATCCGAATAATACGAATAGGAATCAAATACATTATCGTTTGCGCGCATCAGCTACAAAACGGGCCATCTGGGCCTGTATGTTTGAACCATTAACTTGTAATTAACTTAACTTATAATTAATAACTTAATTATAAATTACTTTTAATATTTAAATATACATTTTACTTTAATTACATTTTACTTTAAGATGATATTACAATATCAATATTCCCTTTCATATTAATATCTTTCATCATTATTTGCATATTTAATAGTCATGTTAAATTTTTTAATGATTCGATTCGATTCGACATAAAAATTCTTGATTCGCACATCTCTAATTTCTTGTAATATTTGCGCCGAAAATAACTACAATTTTAACCCTTTTTATCGGTGCAACTTGTTCTTGTCTAATTTACTTGTATTATATTACAGTCCGACACAATCTAATAAATAAATCGCTAATATTTGGTGACGGATATGAGATTTCATTCATAGATTTCATTCATAGATTTCAATCACAATACACACACACACACACACACACACACATACATACATACACACACGGACACGCGCGAATGTGATAAATTACGCGCGACGGCTGCACCGCTGCCAAATAATTTTTTGGCTCGCACGATAAAGTTTAGGACGGAGTCGAGAGAAATTCTCATTAAGCCGAAGATATATCGTTCGCCGTTCACACCGTTCACACCGTTCACACTGTGACGTACGATAGCAATATTCAACGTATTTCACGGTGTCCTTATTCGGTTCTCCACTCGCGCTGTCAGCGAAACTGCTGAGATCGCCAAATGGCTTAATGCATACCTATAAGGAAGTTTTCAGCGAGCATGCTGGATACAGATTAATTCGCGGCGGTCCGGGTGGCGTCCCGAGTGAAAGTGAATACTGTGAGCATGAGAATAACTCGCGCGAGATTCGTGTCACGACATTGTCCACTGCGTCGACTTCGTGATTTGTGTACACAGCATTCGATACGGGGCGGCGGCACAGTCCGCATAGCGTTCAGCGATATACAGCATTGTAAAACGACAAACGATGAAATACGTGCGCAAATTCGCAAAGACGCTGAGAGAAGAAATTTTGCGGTTTCGCGATAGACGAAAGTATTAAGTTATTAAGTATGAAATATTCGATTTCATACTTAATAACCTAATACTTTCGTCTATCGCGAAACCGCAAAATTTCTTCTCTCAGTGCGATCGACTCTCCAAATGCAATTAGTTGTTACACACTTTATGTGACACTTTATGAGACGCGGTAGCGTCACAGTCACCGGCTACCGGTGATTGTCGCGGTATTCATGGTGTTTATCTCACTGCAAATTATAATTGCGTTTAATCGTATTGTTTGATTGCTCTAGGAAAGAAGTGATAGTAACAAGACACGCGAAGTTAGCATCAGTAAAGCTATAGTGGCGTTAGCAACTTACTTCCTGGGTTATACATTTTTCTCATTGTTGAGTTGAAATTTTGATCTTACTTTCGACCTCAATATTACATACAATATTATATCGATCTCCTTTAACAACTTTGCCGAAAGGTCCTCTTAAATGTACGAGCGGCAAATAACCATTCAGAATATATATATATATATTATAGATTATTAAACAGTTCAGGCGGAAGATAAGGTTAAAATTCCGAGTTCCTTCTCGGTACATGAAAGCTCGGCCGCGACCAGTCGACTTGGTCGAAAAACACTGCTGTTTGCGCGAGAAATTGATGTTACACAATTCCAGTAATTCAGGTAATAATCCCCGTTGGGAAAACGCCCGAAAGCGTGTGTTCTTTGCGCGTATGCGATACATCTGTACACTAGGCCGGCGCTATCATTCGCGCTCTTTATGGGGCGATAGTGTTTTCAGAGGAAACACGGTACGGAAATAGTTTCAAGCTGGCATATCGGAATTGCTTTACAATGACGCACTGAGAATCCGAAGCTGCATCCTCTGTAAAAACATTTTCGCGTGGATGCCAGATGCCAGGTCGAACACAGTATATTATTATAATTAAAGGCGTACGCGATACTCGCGCGACGGAGTCTCGCACCTCATGCCATTTTTTTTTCATAAGTTCCCCACTCTGTTTGACTTGTCAGTCTCTTCGTGGCCGAAACACTCTCGATATGCTTCTAATTAATGAGCAATAGAAATCGAAAATTCTTCGAGAGTCAAGAAACTTCGGAGACATGAACAGATCTTACATTTTGTTTAATCGTAAAAGTAAATTTGTATAAAAATTTAAGACGATCTATCTCTTTGACGATCGAGATATATAGAAATTTAGAAAAAAGAAAAAATAGGATAAGATCTTTCAAAGGTCGAGAATTCGTAGACGTGAACGATGCGATGTCGGTACAACTTACTTACTTTTCGTTCAATATTGTACGGCTAGATTCCGACAAAATTTTAAGATGACGTTTGATGATCGAAATAAACAAATTTAAAAAAATGGACTGAGATCCTTCGTGGAAATCGATCAAAATCGAAAATTCGTAAACGTGCGCGATTCGATATACATGGAGCACCGTCTATATCGTCGCTTCCCTCGGAGCGCAACACGATCCGAGGCACCGTATATCTAACGGAATATGCATGCTGCAGAAAGATAAATGCCGACGGACCATCCTTGGAAACCTCTCCTTTTTAGGCGATCATGCGTATAAGCAGGTAACCGTTTGCCAGAATAGAAGCGCACAGCGGTTGGTCCGTCGTCCTCCCTCATTCTTCGGCGGACAGTCAAACGTGTGTTGACTATACACTGACATCGTCGATTACAAATACACAAAAACGAATTCCTTTATATGAATATACACGCGTGAAGGAACGATTTTGACATCATAACAAACTCAGGTTACCTGAGGAATTGCATCGACGCTGCTCCTGATTTCCTCTCGCCAACTCTCCCCTTTGCAGAGCTTTTAACACTGCAAATGATATAACAACGTAATGATGATCGGTCTGTGTCGCAGTGCCGCGAAAAGAACGCGGCCCTTTCTCGCCAGGCGAAATTTCCAGCCGCTCGCGTCCTCTGAAATAAGACTGCGCTTGTATTCGGCAAGAGGAAGACGCCGCGTGCGTCGCGTCCCGAAGAACAACGAACTGGTGTTGAAACGAGTTAGGTCAGTGACTCCGGTAATGCTCATGTCGCAGCCCCTACAGGATGCGTTACTTGGTACACTCTGCACTGGCACATCGCATAATTAATAACCGGCTCTCCGCATAACGCCAAAGCCGACGCCGGCCAAAGCGGGCCCCGCCGACAACTCGGAAGCACGGCCGACAATCGTCGTCGTCGTCGTCGCCGTCATGTCTCTCGTTTTTCGAAAGGTCAACCGTCAAAGCACAGCGCAGTAATGACACAGCGCGAAATTTGTCCGTGTTGCAGATCAACAGTAAGTACAGCGAGGAGCTGGCGCAGGAATGTCTGGAGTGGATCAAGACGATCACCGGCGAGAACATAAGCACCAATGGCGACATGGACAACTTCTACGAAATCCTGAAGGACGGCACGCTGCTTTGCAGGTATTCAACGCTAGAAAGCTGTCAAAATAACCGGTTTTGTATTTCCTCGGAAAAAATTACTCGTATTTATGTGACGTGATACGTTTGATTTTTTTCAATGGACATTGAATAAAACTAAGATAGAAGAAGAACAACCTTTTACCTTCGCATAATATACTCCTTTTAAAAATCTGTTATTTCGATCGAGTAGAAATAGGTCGTGTAAGGCTAAATTCGCACTACGTAGACAGAGGCACGCCTCCGCCATTTCTTTTTTTTTTTAATAGAAATGCTTAAAATGTGATTGTGTGACGGATACTGTGAATACTACAATGCAAAAGCATTGGAGGAGGTTTTGACGGAGGATTGGCGTCCTGCTTGCCGACGCCTACACGGATAATGTGAATGCAGCCTTAATGGTCGGTGGTCCTAATGTTAAAGAGTCGGAAAAGCGACGGTCGCACGCGTCAAGACCGGCTGTCGGGCTTTCGATCGAACTGAGTGGAAGTTCTCTTCGTAATCACGTCCGTTCTCTTCCTCTCTTTGCTTTTCATTAGGCTGGTGAACGACATTAAAGAGGGTTCGGTGAAGAAGATTAATAAGACGTCGTTGGCGTTCAAGTGCATGGAGAATATAAACGCCTTCCTAGAGGCTGCGAAAGCATTAGGCGTTCCGGCTCAGGAGACCTTCCAGACGGTGGACCTCTGGGAGAGGCAGAATCTGAATTCCGTTGTTATTTGCTTACAATCTCTCGGAAGAAAGGTACAGTGCCATGCCATTGTGTAAACGCGGCTATACCGGGTGGCTCGAAATGTCACCCGGTGATCATCCTTCGCCGATTTGCGATCTGTTTTCTCCTTCTTTCGTTTTTCCTCGTTTATTTTGATGCAGCTGCGAGAAATTAAATGTACAACAAAAATTTACTACTCGCTGTCCGTTCGTGAAGAACTTCACAACACTGCGCTGCAATTTCAAAGCTAATCTTTGATACTTAGTGATAATAGCAGCGAATGATTTGATACTTAGTAACGATCTAAGTAACGTTAGAAAATCTCGAAAAAATTCAAGCGCACTCTCGCTGGAGGATATCGGTTGATGCAAAGGAATTTTATCCGGCAGAAGAAATGAAAATTAATTCTATGATTAGAAACTGATCAGTCCTGCAGAGTGCGGTCCTCCATTGCACGTTTTAATTTTTTCTCAGTCACGGGAAGAAACGCGTTGTATCTCTTTCAGGCGGGTAACTTCGGCAAGCCAAGTATCGGTCCCAAAGAAGCGGACAAGAACGTACGCAACTTCACGGAGGAACAACTGAGGGCCGGCCAGGGTGTGATAAGTCTACAATACGGCAGCAATAAGGGTGCCAATCAGAGCGGCATCAATTTCGGAAACACCAGACATATGTGAACACATCCACCTCCACATTCTCTCCGCCAATTGCTCTATCCTCATCTGTCCTCTGTTCCCGTGTCCACGCAATTACTTCTTTAGAGAGAGAGAGAGAGAGAGAGAGAGAGAGAGAGAGAGATATATATATATATATATATATATATATATTTATATAGCTTATCGCATAATAAATGTTCATCGAGGTCCAAGACGTAACGAACGGTGCGCAGAGGAGGCATCCTCATCACAACAAGAGACGAAACGATACACGCACGAAACTTTCTTTCCCAGATAGAGATGACGTTATATAGACAACTTAAAAAGAGGAAAGGAACGGCTTGAATAAAATAAAACTATATTTAGGTTATATAACTAGTACGAACTATTTAATTTAATTTCTCGTCCTCGGTTCCTTGCGTCACTTTTACTCCGCGCGATGATTCGGACGTTGCTGATATATACTACTACTATAATGTACGTACTTGAATCGTACGATTTACGACGCGATTACGTAGTTCTCAAAACATCCTTCTTACATTATAAAAGAACAAAGACAACGTATGTATGTATGTGTAATTTGCTTAGCTTGGATAGTCGCTGTTACATTTGTTGGAAATTACAAAGTATATGTCGTACAACAATGTGCATTAATGATTTCAACACATGCCTACATTCAACGCACCATATCCTTCTCTACTGTGTTTAAAGTATTTCTATCCTGTTTACATGATAATCAATAATATGATTCAACTACGTTATTCTGCAAAAGAACGAAAACCGACCGGCACTTTCACAAATGTAGCCGCGCTATTGATGCGAGTCAAAGTATGCAGATCGGCATGACAGTTTTAATATACGATATAATTAAGTTATTAATATTTTCCGACCATGCGTGTATTTGTTTCTAAAAATTAATGTGAAGTTGTCGCAGTAACCGATTATTAATCTGACGTCGTTCTCATTTCTTTGTATAATCCATAGATAATTGATCAATAATGTGGACAATTAGAAAGTCTTGATAACTTGATTGCATTAGATGTCGGAGCTATTATGCCAGTCTGTATGCAACAAATAGGTTATGCATCGGAATCCGAGGAACTGCTGCGATGGAACACTTTGCAACCAAATTGTCTTACAAATTCATGTTGCATGTGAGATAATAATTATTCTATTACGATAAAGTAATGAATTATATATATAATTATATTAAGTATTTTGTACAAATATATATTGATGGTTAGAAGAAATATAATTTTTCACGATGTATAATGTGGTATGAGTTAATAAATAATGCATAAACAAGTGATTTTTATATCAAATGTTAATATGGAGTACAGTTGTGTTATATTCTTTCTAAATGTGTTTTCGACCCTAAATCCAAATACTATCACTATAGCAAAACGTTTCTCCAGTTGATACTTTTAATATATTTTCTTTAATATTCTATTTTGAAACAAATATGATTTAATACTACATTGAACAGAAGAAAGCCCATATTTAATTATTTGCAAAAAGGATAATAATTCAACCCACTATTGTACTTAAATGCATATCTGTTTCTATGCTGTTTCTCTGCTATTTCCATTAGTTTCTGAACACTGGGCCTGTTTACATTTGATGAAAACATTGATTAGATTATTATAAGTTATATAATAAGTCATGAAGAAAGATTAGAAATCCATACCTATATGGCGGTGGTAACATTTCCTCATGCAACGTACATTCTGTCTTAGGTGGTTTTAAATGATTATATACCTTTATTCTAATGATATCAATATCCCTTCTACCTTCATCTACAATATGTTCTATTAATCTTGGAGGTGCATCAAACCATATACAAAAATGACTAAAAATATAAAATAAGAGACATATATATATATATAAACATATTTTAACTTTAATATATGTGTATAATATAATTACTAATATAAAAAGAGAAGCTATCAGATCTTTCCTGATTTGACATTAGTCATTTAATTAACTATATATTAAAATCAATATTATTAATGATATAAATAAAATCTTACTTTGCTTCACTATGAAGATGGTTATGGATAGAAATTTTGTATGGTAATTCAGTCACTCCCCAATTCTCAATTTTTCTAATAATACCACCTGTGTTGAATATTGTTTCACTTGTTCTTTTTAAAGTTGCCACCAATTCTGGCTACAAAATATATATAAATTCTTGGTAATTATTCAATGTAGACTTATTTTACATGTACAAAACTATGTGTTACTTGTATGTGAGTTACACAGTCAATTAGATAAATTATAATAATTAGCATTGTGACATGGTGCCTATGGCAAAATATAACCTATAACGTAGTACTTATAATAAAATACCTTTTTCATAATACGCAATAATAGTGGCATTTCGTATGACGGCATTTTTCTATTTTTCCTTAGAATTATTATTATAAGGGTTATATAAAGCAGTTGATTGCAAAGTTCACATAAAAATATAACGTACTTTTAGAATCAGAATGAAAATACATCCAATCTTTGGAATAAATCGTACTATCTTTGACCACATAACTATAGACTAAAACTTGGCCTTTACATGATGTAACCAGCATCTCGAGCGCCGCCAAACGTTAAGTAGTAGAATTCCAGTACGTAGCAACAGAGAGGAAGCTGAGAGCGGCCAACACGGCGTTTTCGGCGACACCGATTTTTCGCACTGGAAATGGGCGCTATCTGCATTCATTTTGAGAGGGAAACTACGATGCTACTTCCTCTTTTAGGTCTCGAGGGTGCATCTGGTGGCTGTCCGTGCTACATCCAATTTCAGGCGGTTTATGTCCGTGCTAAAACCATAATAACATACTTGACAAGCACGGTCTCGCGCATTGTTATGCATTTGTAACATGAATTAACATGTTAACATGCACAAAAAAAATAAGAATTGAGATTGTATATGATTAATATCATGACGATTATATACGATTTATATCGATATATAAATATATGATAATAAGATAATATTATGTGTGTACCCAAAATAATTTTTCAAAATATTTCAGCGTAACGTTAGCATTTATTTATACTCCGGCAGGCGTTTTTTAGCGCAGTTGTGTCCGTGTGCATGTGTTGCAATGAAAGTGTGCGACACCTATGTGCGCATATACGCACTCCCACACACACACACACGTCATACGCAACAGATAGAATCTCAGGATATATCCTTAAACATTTTCAACTATATTTTGGTACCACAGCCAGGCCTGTATCCCTAATCGTTTAGAAGATATCGAAGATTAAAGTTTTCCAACATTTCTCCGTTGATATCCAGCCTTCCTCCGTCGATGTCTCCGCTTCTACTGGGAGTAGAGAGTCGTCCATGTAGTCGAAAATGTAGGATTTTGAGAGGGCTTTAATTTGGTGCCAGAGCCAGGCCTGTATCTCTAACCGTCTAGGAGATATCGAAGATTAAAGTTTTCCAACATTTCTCCGTTGATATCCAGCCTTCCTCCGTCGATATCTACGCTTCTACTGGGAGTAGAGAGTCGTCCATGTAGTCCAAAATGTAGGGTTTTGAGAGGGCTTTAATTTGGTACCTGTTCAAAGCCTGTATCTCTAACCGTTTAGGAGATATCGAAGATTAAAGTTTTCCAACCTTTCTCCGTCGATATCACCGCTTCCACTGGGAGTAGAGAGTCGTCCATGTAGTCCAAAATGTAGGGTTTTGAAAGGGCTTTAATTTGGTACCAGTCCGAAGCCTGTATCTCTAACCGTTTAGGAGATATCGAAGGTTAAAGTTTTCCAGCCTTTCTCTATCGATATCCAGCCTTCATCCGTCGATATCTCCGCTTCTACTGGGAGTAGAGAGTCGTCCATGTAGTCCAAAATGTAGGGTTATGAAAGGGCTTTAATTTGGAACCAGTCCGAAGCCTGTATCTCTAACCGTTTAGGAGATATCGAAGGTTAAAGTTTTCCAGCCATTCTCCATCGATATCCAGCCTTCATCCGTCGATATCTCCGCTTCTACTGGGAGTAGAGAGTCGTCCATGTAGTCCAAAATGTAGGTTTTGAAAGGGCTTTAATTTGGTACCTGTCCGAAGCCTGTATCTCTAACCGTTTAGGAGATATCGAAGGTTAAAGTTTTCCAGCCTTTCTCCATCGATATCCAGCCTTCATCCGTCGATATCTCCGCTTCTACTGGGAGTAGAGAGTCGTCCATGTAGTCCAAAATGTAGGGTTTTGAAAGGGCTTTAATTTGGTACCTGTCCGAAGCCTGTATCTCTAACCGTTTAGGAGATATCGAAGGTTAAAGTTTTCTAACCTTTCTCCGTCGATATCCAGCCTTCATTCGTCGATATCTCCGCTTCTATTGGGAGTAGAGGGTCGTCCATGTAGTCCACAATGTAGGGTTTTGAAAGGGCTTTAATTTGGTACCTGTCCGAAGCCTGTATCTCTAACCGTTTAGGAGATATCGAAGTTTAAAGTTTTCTAACCTTTCTCCGTCGATATCCAGCCTTCATTCGTCGATATCTCCGCTTCTATTGGGAGTAGAGGGTCGTCATTGTAGTCCAAAATGTAGGGTTTTGAAAGGGCTTTAATTTGGTACCTGTCCGAAGCCTGTATCTCTAACCGTTTAGGAGATATCGAAGGTTAAAGTTTTCGAACCTTTCTCCGTCGATATCCAGCCTTCATTCGTCGATATCTCCGCTTCTATTGGGAGTAGAGGGTCGTCATTGTAGTCCAAATGTAGGGTTTTGAAAGGGCTTTAATTTGGTACCTGTCCGAAGCCTGTATCTCTAACCGTTTAGGAGATATCGAAGGTTAAAGTTTCTAACCTTTCTCCGTCGATATCCAGCCTTCATCCGTCGATATCTCCGCTTCTATTGGGAGTAGAGGGTCGTCATTGTAGTCCAAAATGTAGGGTTTGAAAGGGCTTTAATTTGGTACCTGTCCGAAGCCTGTATCTCTAACCGTTTAGGAGATATCGAAGGTTAAAGTTTCGAACCTTTCTCCGTCGATATCCAGCCTTCATTCGTCGATATCTCCGCTTCTATTGGGAGTAGAGGGTCGCCATTGTAGTCCAAAATGTAGGGTTTGAAAGGGCTTTAATTTGGTACCTGTCCGAAGCCTGTATCTCTAACCGTTTAGGAGATATCGAAGGTTAAAGTTTTCTAACCTTTCTCCGTCGATATCCAGCCTTCATCCGTCGATATCTCCGCTTCTATTGGGAGTAGAGGGTCGTCATTGTAGTCCAAAATGTAGGGTTTTGAAAGGGCTTTAATTTGGTACCTGTCCGAAGCCTGTATCTCTAACCGTTTAGGAGATATCGAAGGTTAAAGTTTTCTAACCTTTCTCCGTCGATATCCAGCCTTCATCCGTCGATATCTCCGCTTCTATTGGGAGTAGAGGGTCGTCCATGTAGTCCAAAATGTAGGGTTTTGAAAGGGCTTTAATTTGGTACCTGTCCGAAGCCTGTATCTCTAACCGTTTAGGAGATATCGAAGGTTAAAGTTTTCTAACCTTTCTCCGTCGATATCCAGCCTTCATCCGTCGATATCTCCGCTTCTATTGGGAGTAGAGGGTCGTCATTGTAGTCCAAAATGTAGGGTTTTGAAAGGGCTTTAATTTGGTACCTGTCCGAAGCCTGTATCTCTAACCGTTTAGGAGATATCGAAGGTTAAAGTTTTCTAACCTTTCTCCGTCGATATCCAGCCTTCATCCGTCGATATCTCCGCTTCTATTGGGAGTAGAGGGTCGTCATTGTAGTCCAAAATGTAGGGTTTTGAAAGGGCTTTAATTTGGTACCTGTCCGAAGCCTGTATCTCTAACCGTTTAGGAGATATCGAAGGTTAAAGTTTTCTAACCTTTCTCCGTCGATATCCAGCCTTCATCCGTCGATATCTCCGCTTCTATTGGGAGTAGAGGGTCGTCATTGTAGTCCAAAATGTAGGGTTTTGAAAGGGCTTTAATTTGGTACCTGTCCGAAGCCTGTATCTCTAACCGTTTAGGAGATATCGAAGGTTAAAGTTTTCTAACCTTTCTCCGTCGATATCCAGCCTTCATCCGTCGATATCTCCGCTTCTATTGGGAGTAGAGGGTCGTCATTGTAGTCCAAAATGTAGGGTTTTGAAAGGGCTTTAATTTGGTACCTGTCCGAAGCCTGTATCTCTAACCGTTTAGGAGATATCGAAGGTTAAAGTTTTCTAACCTTTCTCCGTCGATATCCAGCCTTCATCCGTCGATATCTCCGCTTCTATTGGGAGTAGAGGGTCGTCATTGTAGTCCAAAATGTAGGGTTTTGAAAGGGCTTTAATTTGGTACCTGTCCGAAGCCTGTATCTCTAACCGTTTAGGAGATATCGAAGGTTAAAGTTTTCTAACCTTTCTCCGTCGATATCCAGCCTTCATCCGTCGATATCTCCGCTTCTATTGGGAGTAGAGGGTCGTCATTGTAGTCCAAAATGTAGGGTTTTGAAAGGGCTTTAATTTGGTACCTGTCCGAAGCCTGTATCTCTAACCGTTTAGGAGATATCGAAGGTTAAAGTTTTCTAACCTTTCTCCGTCGATATCCAGCCTTCATCCGTCGATATCTCCGCTTCTATTGGGAGTAGAGGGTCGTCATTGTAGTCCAAAATGTAGGGTTTTGAAAGGGCTTTAATTTGGTACCTGTCCGAAGCCTGTATCTCTAACCGTTTAGGAGATATCGAAGGTTAAAGTTTTCTAACCTTTCTCCGTCGATATCCAGCCTTCATCCGTCGATATCTCCGCTTCTATTGGGAGTAGAGGGTCGTCATTGTAGTCCAAAATGTAGGGTTTTGAAAGGGCTTTAATTTGGTACCTGTCCGAAGCCTGTATCTCTAACCGTTTAGGAGATATCGAAGGTTAAAGTTTTCTAACCTTTCTCCGTCGATATCCAGCCTTCATCCGTCGATATCTCCGCTTCTATTGGGAGTAGAGGGTCGTCATTGTAGTCCAAAATGTAGGGTTTTGAAAGGGCTTTAATTTGGTACCTGTCCGAAGCCTGTATCTCTAACCGTTTAGGAGATATCGAAGGTTAAAGA